TGCTGCTGTTGCTATTGCTATTATTAGTGGTAGTTGTGGTGCTGCTCTTGCTGTTGTTGCTGTTGTTAGGTCAGTGTTCCAACCGTAGAATCTCTTTCTCCCTCACGATCGTCAAAGCCGAATTTGATTACGTCTGTGGAGGATTCATGGTGATACACTTCGTAAGATCCTTCGTCACCGTCTGTGAGAGATGAGCTGCAAACATTCTTCCAACGCCCCTTCCTTCGTGCATATGGGAAGTTGCCAACAGACCTCCGGAAAACTTCAAGAAATAATGTGTCAGGTTCCTCAAATTATTTCCTGACCATCCGGGCTGTGGTTCGTACGGCCAGTGATAAGAGCTTGGATGATCTCTGGCCTTGATCCACCGGGAGGCCTGGTCCGGGACCCTGCCGCGGGGCCGTTGACCCCCGCGAGCATTCCTTCATGCATCGGAACTCCAGCTAACAAATGCTTATGCTCTCGGTTAACGAGGGGACATTTAGGTGAATACAAATATGAAGTACTTTTGACTAGTGCTCAGCAGACGGAGGATCAACCCTCTGCAACGTCTTGTGCTAAATGACTCGCATGGGTTTAGCGCTTATCATACATTATTTTATCCCTGTTAGCTAGACAAGAAGTAAACTAGAAAGTGTCTTGATTGAAATCAGCCCTAGCATCGCAAACCAGCCTTAGCATCGCAAACTAGCAGTACACACACACACTCAGGTAAGTCAGAGGGATGTTAGGAAGTATTTCTTCAGCATTAGAGCTGTCAGGACGTGGAATAATCTGGAGAGAGAGGTACTATAAGGCTCTTGGAACAACCAGAGAGTGGACCAAGTAGCGACTAGCAAAGTGGCGGGGCCAGGAGCTGTGAATCGACCCCTGCAACCACAAATAGGTGAGTACATGCACACATACCATCACAGGAAGAGAGAGGAGGCAGGCTGCAGGTGGGTAGGGTTGGTGTCCTCCAGCAGTTGAAGGTCACGTCTGCAGTCCTGCACACTCTCCCTCCCAACCTCCATCCTTCTACCCTCCCAGCCATCCCTCCAGATTTCCCTCCTACTCTATCCCACTGCCCTACACTTCCTCTTTTCTTCCATCAGAAAATATCGAACAGAAGCTATATATCTCGTAGCTATCATTCTAGTGCTGTTAATCTTGAAGATATCTATTTTGAAACTATCTATTTAAAAACTATCCATTCTGAAACTACATATTTGAACTGAAAAAATGCATTCGCTCTATCGAAGGTCGGCCATCAACACTTAACAAAAAAATACCTCAGGTGTGAGAATTTCTTTCAGAAATTTCTAGGAATTTCTTATATTATCAAGCAATGGAAACCAGGAAGTGCCCCAATGGAAATAAGTCACCTTGTCTGACTTTTTGGGGGTTATTTTAGGTACTTTATACTACGTATGATAAGTGTACTTATGTGTACCTGTGACTAAATAAACTTACTGACTTACTTACTTGCCAGTATCAGGAAGAGACAGGTTGTAGTGCCAGTACACGTAACAGACTATGTGTAGAGCCAGTACACATAACAGACTATGTGTAGTGCCAGTACACGTAACAGACTATGTGCAGTGCCAGTACACGTAACAGACTATGTGCAGTGCCAGTACACGTAACGGACTATGTGTAGTGCCAGTACACGTAACAGACTATGTGTAGTGCCAGTACACGTAACAGACTATGTGTAGTGCCAGTACACGTAACAGACTATGTGCAGTGCCAGTACACATAACAGACTATGTGTAGTGCCAGTACACGTAACAGACTATGTGCAGTGCCAGTACACATAACAGACTATGTGCAGTGCCAGTACACATAACAGACTATGTGCAGTGCCAGTACACGTAACAGACTATGTGTAGTGCCACTTTGTCATGGGATTTATTTTTTAAGGAGAGATGGGGAAATTTCTGCATGAAATGAGAGATTGTATATTCGAAGGTTTGGCTTATGTTATCTCAGCATCAACCAATTATTACCCTAAATCATCACAATTATCCAATTATACTTGAGCTATCAGGCAATAATCATTTCAATAAGAACAGGGATTATTCAGGACTATACTAAAATTGTTATTAAATCTTTCACCTAAATTACAGCACACAGAAGATAGAGGAACGGTAGGGACATTAATTATACCATAAATTAGCGTAATTGTAATAATTCAGTGTCTCAGAAAATTAAAACTCACATAGGGGTGATCAGTATTAGCCTGAGCTTGCTACCATCTGCAGCTCATAAGACTGCCATCCCCACGAGCCTCTTCGAGGCGGGGTAGATGGCAGACCAGAGGCCTAGCTTCTCCCTACGAGCCCCGTGAGGGCGGGGAATGTGGCTAGGCCTGGGGACACTTGGTCCCAAAGATGAGGAGGTACTTGTCCCTCCTCCCATGGGAGACTTAAGTCTCGAGACACTCCCCAGATAGGGAGCCAAGGCCGGGTCACCACTACTTGGAAAAGACCCGGGCCGCGAGAATACCGGCGAATAAAAAAAAAAAAAAAAAAATCAGTATCATTCATCGACACCATGCCCAGCCCTTCTAGGGTAGGGTAGGTGCCTGAGCCCGAGCCTTTAGCTCATAAGACTGTCATTCCCATTTGCCCCCTTGGGGTGGGGATGGCAGACCAGAGAGGCCTAGCTTGTGGCTAGGCCTGGGGACAGTTGGTCCCAAAGATGAGGAGGTGCTTGTACCTCCTCCCATGGGAGACTTAGGTCTCAGACACTCCCTAAAGAGGGAGCCAAGGCCGGGCCACCACTTGGAAAAGGCCCGGGCCGGGAGAATACCGGCGAATATTTAATAATCAGTATCATTATTTTTTTTCTTAATAGGACAAATGGTTATAACTAGGACCATAATTTTTAATTGGGTGGACCGGTAAGCCAGCGGAAGGTCTCAGTTAGGTGACCAAAAGCTCCAACGGCGGGTCATCATATGACTAAAACCCGCGTCAGGAAACACTTGTTTCCTAATAAATCTTACCTAACCTAACCAGTATCATTACACGGTATTAGTTGTTGGTTTCTGGACAGGAGGGATGTTCTTACCGGCCTTGATGTTAATAAGGGGGCTCTTGATCTGTAGCGATAAAGCTACACTATTCTTTCATGGCTCAGATTTGATTACCTCCCATTCTCCAGGGCCTTTATGACCACCCAGGGTATGCCACTTTCCTCTGAAAATAATGACAATAATCAGTCTTTTCAATATGGCTGCGGAGGGTCAACATGTTACAATACTAGGACAAGTGTTTTTTACCAAGTACAAGTTGAGACACTTGTACAAATTTCGGGAATCTTCATTGAGGAAACGTTTCGCCACACAGTAGCTTCATCAGTCCAATACAAAGAAGAACGGTAGAAAACGAGGAGTTTGAGGTAATCAGTCACTCAGCCTGGAATCAATGTGTTCACTCCATCAGTCTTGAAGATTGATGAATTGATGATTATAATCGTTATGTACTTAGTATTAATTAATTAGTATCCGATTACAGGTATCTGTAATCGGATACTAGGCGTTGGTATCATTCACCTGAATGAAATCTTTCGGCTCAGGCTGTTGGGTTTCAACACAATATGTGTAAGTGTTACGCAGAAAAGTTGATGATTATGACTCATGTGCAACAGCTGTGTATCTTTATTATTAAAACGTTTCCCCTACACAATAGGCTTCGTCAGTCAAATACAAAGGCAACAGGTGTGCAACACCTGTTGCACACCTTTGTCTTAATCAACACGTGTTTTAATCAACACGTATTTTAATCAACTCGTGTTTTAATCAACACATGTTTTAATCAACAAATGATATAATCAACACATGTTTTAATCAACACGTATTTTAATCAACACGTGTTTTAATCAACACATGATTTAATCAACACTTGTTTTAATCAACACGTGTTTAATCAACACGTGTTTTAATCAAAGGCAGCTTTTATTTATATGCAAATATCGCATAAAAGAGAGCAGTAGTAAACAACTGATGTATCCAATTTTGCTAAATAATATGAGAAAGTCAAACCTCATATCATGAATCCCAGGTTTGCCTCCTCAAAACGCTTATGAGAAATATGTGGACCTCATGAAGAGCAACATGGCGTCTAGCTGTAAAGATATATTATTGGAACCTGTTTTATATTTCTTCATGCATGAATAAAAGTTAATTGAAGTTTTCCAAGAGCCCTTCACCGGCTCTTGAAGAGTTGCGTTAGAACACAGAGAGTGTGCTCTCCTTCCTCTCTGATCTTCCTTGGTTCTCTCTGTAGTTACGTTCTTCAGACTTTTACTCTATTTTTTTTTTTAGATTCCCCTTTCCTACTTTTTTTATATATAAATTTTCCTTTTACTTCAATGCACAAATATCCATCTCATAAGAGAAAGAATCCATTAGCTAGTCACCCTGACAACTTGGGATGTAAGGAAATTTTCCTCAACATTTTCCGTGTCAGGGACTCGAATGCTCTCACCAGTGAGCTACGAGGAACCCCTACGAGTGGTGGTACTGGTGGAAGCTCTGCCTGGGAGGTGGAAACACTAACTCCTCCCAACCCAGACCACACTGGAGCCCTCCAGGCGAGACCTTGGAACTCCTGCATTCAACACGCACTGAACACACACACACACACACACACACACACACACACGTTTGAGCTCATGAAACAACCTCTGCTAACCTCTCACTGTCTCCTAAGAATATATTTTGCACTTTTCGTTCTCATATATGATAAAAACTACATTATTTCCCGTTATTTCCCAAGAACTCCAATGGAAATAAGTCACTTTTTTGGATTCTCTTTTTTTTTTTGGTTATCCTAAGTAATTTACACATGTTACTATGTATAATAATTTGTGTAACTGTATTTATGTGTAACGGTACCCGAATAAACTTACTTACAATAACACTGGTGGAACAGTACAGTCTATGCAGGTAACCCGCCGAGTGAGTTTATCGTTACCGGTTACGTGGTTCTTGCCGCTCAGTTGATCAAGTTGAGTCCAGAGGTGCGGTTCCAGCACTTTGTTCTTCCCTTACACTCACTCGCCCGGCCACGGCAGCCCATTGGAGATTTGTTTACCTTTTGTAAAAGTGCTAAAATTTTGTGATTCATTCAGTGGAAGTGATACTGGAGGCTCGATCCGCCGTCCACTAATCGTGACACAGGTTCTGCTTCGTATACTCACCGGTTACCGTTGAAATGTTTGACTTATTCGGCGCCATCCACCACTTGCTGAAAATTGATCAGGTGAAAATCGACAACTTGATTTTCACTTTACATTACCGAGTGACTGCCATCATTCTCCTGGCATTCAGTATCCTCGTGACTAAAAGACAGTATTTCGGTGACCCCATTGACTGTATGGTCGATGCTATCAACAGTAACACGATCGACGTGTTTTGCTGGATACAGTCGACTTACACGATTCCAGCGCTGACTGGAGGCGTCGTAGGGGAGGAGGTAGCCCATCCCGGCGTCGCTAGTCGTGTTAGCATCTTGCAAAAGAACGACGAGGTTGGGGAAGAATACGTCATCCGTCACCATTCTTACTATCAGTGGGTCGTGTTATTTTTCTTCTTTCAGGTCAGTGCTTACATCATCTTACACCACACTGGTCCATATTTACACCTACTGGCCCATATTTACACCCTCCTGGTCCATATTTACATTTGAGTTTATTCCTACAGGAAATATACATATTTAATTTTCCATAAGTGATACCTCGTCCCATAGATACCTATTTTTTTCTTCGGCTATTTCTTAGGTACCACCTGTTCCCCTATCATCAGTCAGGAACCATCTGCTTCCCCTATCATCAGTCAGGAACCACCTGCTACCCCTAACATTGGTCAGGAACCACCTGTTTCCCATATCATCAGTTAGGTACCACCTGTTTCCCTACCGTTAGTCAGGAAACCACCTGTTTCCCCTATCATCAGTCAGGAACCACCTGTTGCCCCTAACATTGGTCACGAACCACCTGTTTTCCCAATCATCAGTCAAGAACCACCTGCCACCCCTCACCTCAGTCATCTGACTGTTAGGTCCCATTTTAGAGTAACCTCTCACCTATTTCCTATTTCCCTACCCTATTCACCTATTCTCAGAGTGATGTGCTCCTGTGTGCAAAGAGCTACCTCTTTCCTATTTCCCTACCCTATTCATCTATTCTCAGAGTGATGTGCTCCTGTGTGCAAGGAGCTACCTCTTCCCTTCCTTGGATCAAACCTAAATACCACCCATCACCACGCTATTAATAACAATTTGCTAATTACTTAAAACAGGAGGGAAGACTTTAGATAACCTTTCGCTTCTTTGAAGATCCATTATCAGGTCAATCAGAAGACTGGAGAGGTAACCTGTAGTCTTTTCCAGAGGTTATAGCCCGAACGAGCTGGTCCCAGACCAGGCCTCCTGGTTGCTGGTCTGATCAACTAGGTTGTTGGTGCCCTCCGCTGAAGAGGAAATCAGATGTTAAGCGAGATGATGCGTTTGATATACCTTTGATGAGTTCCGAGAGAGGCCCGACCATGGGCCAGGTTCGTCTGGTGCTTGCCTGGTGTTTGCCTAGTGCTTGCCTGGTGCTTGTCTTGTGAGGAGAGGAGATAGGCAGATCCGTGATGTTGTCAGTAAAGAAAGTACCGTGTTGCTGTGGTGGGTACACGGGAAATACCGTGTTGCTGTGGTGGGTACACGAGAAGTACCGTGTTGCTGTGGTGGGTACACGGGAAGTACCGTGTTGCTGTGGTGGGTACACGGGAAGTACCGTGCTGCTGTGGTGGGTACACGGGAAGTACCGTGTTGCTGTGGTGGGTACAGGTGAAGTACCGTGTTGCTGTGGTGGGTACAGGTGAAGTACCGTGTTGGTGTGGTGGGTACAGGTGAAGTACCGTGTTGCTGTGGTGGGTACACGGGAAGTACCGTGTTGCTGTGGTGGGTACAGGTGAAGTACCGTGTTGCTGTGGTGGGTACAGGGGAAGTACCGTGTTGCTGTGGTGGGTACAGGTGAAGTACCGTGTTGCTGTGGTGGGTACAGGGGAAGTACCGTGTTGCTGTGGTGGGTACACGGGAAGTACCAAGTTGCTGTGGTGGGTACAGGTGAAGTACCGTGTTGCTGTGGTGGGTACACGGGAAGTACCGTGTTGCTGTTGTGGGTACAGGTGAAGTACCGTGTTGCTGTGGTGGGTACAGGGAAGTACCGTGTTGCTGTGGTGGGTACACGGGAAGTTACCAAGTTGCTGTGGTGGGTACAGGTGAAGTACCGTGTTGCTGTGGTGGGTACACGGAAGTACCGTGTTGCTGTTGTGGGTACAGGTGAAGTACCGTGTTAGCTGTGGTGGTACAGGTGAAGTACCGTGTTGCTGTGGTGGGTACACGGGAAGTACCGTGTTGCTGTTGTGGGTACAGGTGAAGTACCGTGTTGCTGTGGTGGGTACACGGGAAGTACCAAGTTGCTGTGGTGGGTACAGGGGAAGTACCGTGTTGCTGTGGTGGGTACAGGTGAAGTACCGTGTTGCTGTGGTGGGTACACGGGAAGTACCAAGTTGCTGTGGTGGGTACAGGGGAAGTACCGTGTTGCTGTGGTGGGTACAGGTGAAGTACCGTGTTGCTGTGGTGGGTACAGGGGAAGTACCGTGTTGCTGTGGTGGGTACAGGTGAAGTACCGTGTTGCTGTGGTGGGTACACGGGAAGTACCAAGTTGCTGTGGTGGGTACAGGGGAAGTACCGTGTTGCTGTGGTGGGTACAGGTGAAGTACCGTGTTGCTGTGGTGGGTACAGGGGAAGTACCGTGTTGCTGTGGTGGGTACAGGTGAAGTACCGTGTTGCTGTGGTGGGTACACGGGAAGTACCAAGTTGCTGTGGTGGGTACAGGGGAAGTACCGTGTTGCTGTGGTGGGTACAGGTGAAGTACCGTGTTGCTGTGGTGGGTACAGGGGAAGTACCGTGTTGCTGTGGTGGGTACACGGGAAGTACCAAGTTGCTGTGGTGGGTACAGGTGAAGTACCGTGTTGCTGTGGTGGGTACAGGGGAAGTACCGTGTTGCTGTGGTGGGTACACGGGAAGTACCAAGTTGCTGTGGTGGGTACAGGGGAAATACCGTGTTGCTGTGGTGGGTACAGGTGAAGTACCGTGTTGCTGTGGTGGGTACAGGGGAAGTACCGTGTTGCTGTGGTGGGTACACGGGAAGTACCAAGTTGCTGTGGTGGGTACACGGGAAGTACCGTGTTGCTGTGGTGGGTACAGGTGAAGTACCGTGTTGCTGTGGTGGGTACACGGGAAGTACCAAGTTGCTGTGGTGGGTACAGGGGAAGTACCGTGTTGCTGTGGTGGGTACAGGTGAAGTACCGTGTTGCTGTGGTGGGTACAGGTGAAGTACCGTGTTGGTGTGGTGGGTACACGGGAAGTACCAAGTTGCTGTGGTGGGTACACGGGAAGTACCAAGTTGCTGTGGTGGGTACAGGTGAAGTACCGTGTTGCTGTGGTGGGTACAGGTGAAGTACCGTGTTGCTGTGGTGGGTACACGGGAAGTACCGTGTTGCTGTTGTGGGTACAGGTGAAGTACCGTGTTGCTGTGGTGGGTACACGGGAAGTACCGTGTTGCTGTTGTGGGTACAGGTGAAGTACCGTGTTGCTGTGGTGGGTACACGGGAAGTACCGTGTTGCTGTGGTGGGTACAGGTGAAGTACCGTGTTGCTGTGGTGGGTACACGGAAGTACCGTGTTGCTGTGGTGGGTACAGGTGAAGTACCGTGTTGCTGTGGTGGGTACACGGGAAGTACCGTGTTGCTGTGGTGGGTACAGGTGAAGTACCGTGTTGCTGTGGTGGGTACAGGGGAAGTACCGTGTTGCTGTGGTGGGTACACGGGAAGTACCGTGTTGCTGTGGTGGGTACAGGTGAAGTACCGTGTTGCTGTGGTGGGTACAGGTGAAGTACCGTGTTGCTGTGGTGGGTACACGGGAAGTACCAAGTTGCTGAGGTGGGTACACGGGAAGTACCAAGTTGCTGTGGTGGGAACAGGTGAAGTACCGTGTTGCTGTGGTGGGTACAGGTGAAGTACCGTGTTGCTGTGGTGGGTACACGGGAAGTACCGTGTTGCTGTTGTGGGTACAGGTGAAGTACCGTGTTGCTGTGGTGGGTACACGGGAAGTACCGTGTTGCTGTGGTGGGTACACGGGAAGTACCAAGTTGCTGTGGTGGGTACAGGGGAAGTACCGTGTTGCTGTTGTGGGTACACGGGAAGTACCGTGTTGCTGTTGTGGGTACAGGTGAAGTACCGTGTTGCTGTGGTGGGTACACGGTAAGTACCGTGTTGCTGTTGTGGGTACAGGTGAAGTACCGTGTTGCTGTGGTGGGTACACGGGAAGTACCGTGTTGCTGTGGTGGGTACACGGGAAGTACCGTGTTGCTGTTGTGGGTACAGGTGAAGTACCGTGTTGCTGTGGTGGGTACAGGGGAAGTACCGTGTTGCTGTGGTGGGTACACGGGAAGTACCGTGTTGCTGTTGTGGGTACAGGTGAAGTACCGTGTTGCTGTGGTGGGTACACGGGAAGTACCGTGTTGCTGTGGTGGGTACACGGGAAGTACCAAGTTGCTGTGGTGGGTACAGGGGAAGTACCGTGTTGCTGTGGTGGGTACACGGGAAGTACCGTGTTGCTGTTGTGGGTACAGGTGAAGTACCGTGTTGCTGTGGTGGGTACAGGGGAAGTACCGTGTTGCTGTGGTGGGTACACGGGAAGTACCAAGTTGCTGTGGTGGGTACAGGGGAAGTACCGTGTTGCTGTGGTGGGTACACGGGAAGTACCAAGTTGCTGTGGTGGGTACAGGGGAAGTACCGTGTTGCTGTGGTGGGTACACGGGAAGTACCAAGTTGCTGTGGTGGGTACAGGGGAAGTACCAAGTTGCTGTGGTGGGTACAGGGGAAGTACCAAGTTGCTGTGGTGGGTACAGGGGAAGTACCAAGTTGCTGTGGTGGGTACAGGGGAAGTACCAAGTTGCTGTGGTGGGTACAGGGGAAGTACCGTGTTGCTGTGGTGGGTACACGGGAAGTACCAAGTTGCTGTGGTGGGTACACGGGAAGTACCAAGTTGCTGTGGTGGGTACACGGGAAGTACCAAGTTGCTGTGGTGGGTACACGGGAAGTACCAAGTTGCTGTGGTGGGTACAGGGGAAGTACCAAGTTGCTGTGGTGGGTACAGGGGAAGTACCAAGTTGCTGTGGTGGGTACAGGGGAAGTACCAAGTTGCTGTGGTGGGTACAGGGGAAGTACCGTGTTGCTGTGGTGGGTACAGGGGAAGTACCAAGTTGCTGTGGTGGGTACAGGTGAAGTACCGTGTTGCTGTGGTGGGTACAGGGGAAGTACCAAGTTGCTGTGGTGGGTACAGGTGAAGTACGGTGTTGCTGTTGTGGGTACAGGGGAAGTACCAAGTTGCTGTGGTGGGTACAGGGGAAGTACCAAGTTGCTGTGGTGGGTACAGGGGAAGTACCAAGTTGCTGTGGTGGGTACAGGGGAAGTACCGTGTTGCTGTGGTGGGTACAGGGGAAGTACCAAGTTGCTGTGGTGGGTACAGGTGAAGTACCGTGTTGCTGTGGTGGGTACAGGGGAAGTACCAAGTTGCTGTGGTGGGTACAGGTGAAGTACCGTGTTGCTGTGGTGGGTACAGGGGAAGTACCAAGTTGC